AAAAAAAAACAACTGAGTTTTCAGGGAAATATGAAACAGCGTATCTTCTAAGAAATAATTTTTCTGCCACTATTCTTAATGTTTCTAGGGATGGTTGTCGAAACATATATATATATATATATACATATATATATATATGTCTAATGAATATATTTTTCATAGAAGTTTCTGACTTTTTAGTTGTGGATTGTATTTGAATGTCTCTTGGGAGTTATTAAATATATATATATATATTCTACTCTTGGTAACAAGATGTTTTACATGTACTTCTTCCTGAAACAGAACCCCATATATAAATATTATGCTTATAAATGCCATATACCTAGTCTCCCACAGATGCACCTGAAGGAAAGTAGGTCATTTTAGAAATTTGAAAATATTTAATAACTCCCAAGAGACATTCAAATACAATCCACAACTAAAAAGTCAGAAACTTCTATGAAAAATATATTCATTAAACCTCTTCCCAAAATACCTTTTGAATACATTCATAAATATCCATTTTCCTGCTACTAGAAAGCTGTCCATAATCTTAGCAGCAGGAAAAGTCCGTAAAATTTCACATTCCACAGTTCTAATTATAATTAGGATAAACCACCTTTCTCCCAATTCAAAATATGTTTTAGGAGGAAGGGGAGAAGGTGAAAATGTTGGATGACATTTGTCTGTACACCAAATGTTCACACAAAATTTTTTTATTGTGATAAAATAAAGTAACAAAATTTATGATTTTAACCACTTTTAGATGCACAATTCAATGACACTAAGTATATATTCACAATGTTGTACAACCAGCATCCCATCCATTTCCAGAATTTTTTTTTTTTAAAGATTTATTTATTTATTTATTTATACAAGCACTGGGTACAGTCAGAAGCACGGGAGGATGAGAGAATTCACCAGAGCAGAGCAGGGAGCAGAACAGGCAGAAGGACTGAAGTACACTGCTGAGGGGAGCAACGGGCGGCAGGAGAGGTCTGCCCACCATGTGGGACCCTCTCCCGGCGGCCGGCCGGGGATCGAACCGGTGCTGCAGAGGCTGTGGGCAGCTTCGCAACCCAGCGCTCAACCGCTGCGCCACTGGGGAGGCCCCATTTCCAGAATTTTTAATTGCCCCAAACAGGAATTCTGTACCATTAAATAGTAATTTCCCATTCCCATCACTCCTCAGTCCCAAGTAACCTCTATTTTTTTCCCCAGCTCTGTAAAGTTGCCTATTATAGGTGCCTCATGTGAGTGGAAGCCTACAGTAATTGGTCTTTTGTATCTTGTTTATTTACTTCACATAATGTTCTCAAGGTTCATCATGTGGTGGTGGTGGAATATATTGGTACTTCATCCCTTTTGAAGGGTGAGTAATATTCCACTGTATGTAAATCCATTCTTCTGTTGATGGTCACTTGGGTTGTTTTCACTTTCTGGCTATTGTGACTAAAGCTGCTGGTGTTTAAATACCTGTTTGCGTCTCTTTTTTCAATTATTTTGGATATACACCTAAAAGTATAATACTCATAACAGTTCCAAAGAGAAAGAAAAAGGATGCATATGTTATAACTGGAACAAAAGAAGGCTAAGTAGGTGGGCTGAAAAACTTAACTATTGTGAGATATAGTTGTAGTTCCTCTTCCTCAACGTATTGGGAAATTCTGTTTTGGATTTTTTTTTTTTTTTTTTCCCCCCGGCAGGGGAACGAACCGGCGCTGCAGAGGCTGCGGGCAGCCTCGCAGCCCAGAGCTCAACCGCTGCGCCCCCAGGGGAGGCCCGGGAAATTCTGTTTTGATGAGTGCTTATGATTTGGAAAGGTTCTAAATGAGATTATATCTAAGAAACAAAACCTCTCCAATATCACCAATAAGAGGCCTCACAGTTCTCGATTTTCAGTTGTAGTGTTTTTCTTTGATTACAGTGCCCCTCATGTGTCTATATTTTTATACTATGGAGATTTTGAAAATGATTTAATATCAGTCACAGAACAAAGGAGAAATTTAAATATCTTTTAAAAACTTTCCAAAGGGCACCTGAACGCCTATGTTTATAACAGCACTATTTACAATAGCTAAGCTATGGAAACAACCCAAATGCCCAAAAATAGATGACTGGATCAAGAAGATGTGGTACATATACACCATGGAATATTACTCAGCAATCAAAAAAGATAAACACATGCAGTTTGCAGCAACATGGATGGAGCTAGAAGGGATCATGCTCAGCGAAATAAATCAGAAAGAAAAAGAAAAATACCGGATGGTCTCACTCATAGCAGGAATTTAGAAAACCTAAATAAGAGACCAGGAAAAAGACTAATCAATACAAAGTGAAAATCAAAATCAACAAGCAACTATAAACCAGAGACACACTGGGGGGTGGAGAGTGGCAGGAATAGGAAGGACTAGAGTCAAAATAAGGGGGGAGGTACAATAGTATGGGGAATATAACCAATATGAAAATGCATACATTGTGCAAAGATGAAAAAAGATGTAAGAATTATATAAAATAAAATATTTAAATAAAAAAAAAGACTATTGACTGCATGCAAGTTCCCATTGTTAAGCACAGGTGAAAATAATAGTTTTAACAGTCATCAAAGTCATACACACATTAAGAGTATGTAAAATGTATACCTACAAGGTAAAGAATAAAAGACCACACCCCTCCAAGTGTGAGAGTATATTACTAGTACTCTGGATGCTGCATCACCCCAGCATCTTCTCAGAGATAACACCATACTGAAATCTAGTGCTAATTCTCCCCTTGTTTTTCTTTATGGCTTGATCACTTGTGTTTGTTTCTCTAAACACTATGGGGAAGGGGGTTCAATGTCTTTTTTTTTAACTTTGCATAAACTGAATCCTCTTGCGTGTATTCTTTCGTGACTTTTAAAAAATTCTACCTTTATTCCACCTTTAAATGTTATCCATTCATTTACTTTCAAGTCTTTACCATAGTTATCCCATTTTATGAATACGCTCTTGGCAAACATTCAGATTGTTTCTAATTATTATGAATAAAGATCTCAGAACATCAGTCAACAAGTTGCCTGGTGCTCATGTTTAACAGTTTCTCTGGGGTACACAAATTGGTGGGTACATATGCATTCTTTCTAGGTAATACCAACTTTTCCAAAGTAGATGAGAGCAGTGTGTAGGAATTTCCTTTTCTCCATATCCTTACCAGCACTTTTACATTCTGATTAATCTAGGAAAGTGAAATATTATCTCATTGTGGTTCAAATGTGTATTTATTTTTATGATTATTCATGAGGCTGGACATATTTCCATAAGTTTACATGTAATCTGTGTTTTCTATCATGCCTTTTGCATATTTTCCCACTGGATTTGTCTTTTCCTTATTGACTTTTTATCTTTTTGAGTTTTTTTTTTAAAATATCAAGATAGGTCACAAAGAGTATAAAACAAATTTTTTAAGATTTATTTTTCTTTCTTCATGCATACAAGAACTGAGGTGTAGGCCAGAGTTGCAGGCATGTATTTTTCTTTAGGAAAAATTTCATCTGAGACTGTATCCCAGAATCCATATGTTTGATCTTCATCACCATGGAAATGGTGGCAAAAAGTGAAAGCGGGGAATTGTTAGGGGGAAATGATGTCCTGAGTTAATCCCATACAGGCTTTGTGGACCCCACCCCCACTCCAGACTAAAGCCATCAAGACATTGGGAAAGACAAATCCCATCACCACCAAAGGGAGGGTGGCTGGGACCTGAGGGTGGAGTTGGGCAGCCAGGTTGGATATAAAAACCAAACACGTGGGCCTTGGGCTCTCTCTGGCTCCGATCGCTCGCCTCCTGGCTTCACGGCTCCAGGCTGGCGGCCAGCTCTCAGAGCGCCATTTTGGGATTCCTGATCCACGGATTGGGTAGGACTCATTTAAAACTTTGTCTCCCACTTTTCTCCCAGAGCTGTACATTTCCTCATTTCCCCTTCCCTTGTAAATAAACCTTTTATTAACCTTTCGCGTGTGCCTGCAGTAGAGCATTGGTAAGTCCTTTTAAGCGCGCGGGTGAGGACCCACAGTCAGGCACCCCGTTTTGTATCGATGTTGCTCTACAACAGTTACATATCCTAGTCACTAGCTTTTGTCAATCATGTGCATCACATGCAACTTCTCCCACTCTGTGGTTTTTCTCTTTTTGATGTACTTTTAAGTACAGGTTTTTGTTTTTTTATCTGGTCAAATTTATCAGTCTCTCATGGTTTGTGCTTTCTATATCATGTATCCCTACCCGTTTGTCATGGACATAATTTATTGTTCCCTAATTCAGTTGTTTCACGAACATTTCCTGACGGGCAATCTTTCCTCCCATCAGCTTTTCTAACTCAGGGTCCACATACCTGGGTCTGTTTCACATCTTGTTATCCCTTCATCACAAAGAAATATATGTTTCGCTGGTAAAGAGCTGTTTTTGTGGGCCTCCCCGGTGGCGCAGCGGTTGAGCGCTGGGTTGCGAAGCTGCCCGCAGCCACTGTGGCGCCGGTTCGATCCCCGGCTGCTCCCCAGCCACCGGAGGAGGGTCCCATATGGCGCGCAGACCTCCCCTGCCGCCCGCTGCTCCCCTCAGCAGTGTACCTCGGTCCTTCTGCCTGCTCTGCTCCCCGCTCTGGCTCTGGTGAATTCTCTCACCCTCCCGCGCTTCTGACTGTACCCAGTGCATGTATAAACAAAACAAACAAACAAACAAAAAATAAATAAATAAATAAAAGCATGCCTCTATAAAAAAAAAAAAAAAGAGCTGTTTTTGTTTATTCACTTTTTGTACTGTTTTTAAGAGTTTGGGCGACCGCTACCGGCCAAGAACGTCAAGGAACAGAGACTTGTAGAGCAGGAGTCAGACCCGAGGCCCGCGCCGCGGGTCTCTGCGCGGCGTCCCTCGCGCCCACCTTTCCCAAAGGGCGGAAGCGTAGGCGGGGCTACTTCCGGGTGTACGCGCCACACCACGAAGTGCGCCTGCGCCGCAAGGCCCGGCTCCGCCCCCGCCCGGACCTCTATCCGGACTCGAGCTCTCCTCGCGAGAGACGCGGTGCTCATGCTCGCGGCGGGGGTCGGAGGTCAAGGCGAGCGTTTCCCGGGCCACAGCAGGAAGATGGCGGTGGAGTCGCGCGTTACTCAGGAGGAAATTAAGAAGGAGCCGGAGAAACCGATCGACCGGGAGAAGGTGTGGGACTCGGAAAGAGGTGGAGGTGGGCCCGGCGGGCGGAGAGAGCGGCCTAGGGTGGGAAGCGGCGGTAGTTTGCTCCCGGGCGGCTCGGAGGCCTTGGGAAGGGAATGGAAGGAAAGGAAAGGGAGCGCGGGACTCGCCGCCGCGCTCTTTAACTTCTGCCCTGCCTGTTTCTCCTCTCTTGCAGACATGCCCCCTGCTGCTGCGTGTCTTCACCACCAACAACGGCCGCCACCACCGAATGGACGAGTTCTCCCGCGGAAATGTGCCGTCCAGCGAGCTGCAGATCTACACTTGGTGAGAGCGCGGGCGGGGAGGGGTGTCGGGCGTTAGAGGAAACTAAGGAAATTTCCCGTTACTAGTGAGGAAATAGTCTCCCTGTTTTCAGTTTCTTCTCACCTTGGGGTCTTTGTACGCAGTTCTCAGAAGACTAGAGTGTTTAGCTGTTAGAGAAAACAGGATAGCGCGTTTAGGTTTAATGTTGAAACTTTGAGGTTGTAAAAAATTGACAGATACAACAGTCTGCCACCGTTAGAGCTGCTTGGTATAAAAATAGGTACAGAGTTAAATGCGGTGGCCACACTTAGGGACTGTAGTAGGACAAGTGTTACAAGAGGAGCTTGGTAAAGGGGAGCTATGTGCAAAGAGCATTTCCACGTCATGTTAATTTCCTGAAATACCGTTGCATCCAAAAAGATAAAGAGTAAGTTCTGATCTGGTACTTGATAGAAAAACTTTTGAGTTGCGAGTAGTGAAGCGTTGCCCCTGAGTGCTTATTCTTTCCTTTGTACCTTATCTCTACCCCCAAGTCTAAGGATCATTACATTCTGCAACCTTGTCAGTGCTGCGTGTAATTCCTTGGTTTGCTATCATAATGACTTTTTAGTTGCAGTAGAAGGTGTTTATTTAAAATGTCTATTGCGGTAAAATATATAATGTAACATCGCCATTCTAACTTTTTTTTTTAAGATTTATTTATTTATGCATACAAGAACTGGGATACAGGCCAGAGGTGCGGCGGGGGTGGGGGGGTTGAGAGGGTTCAGCAGAATCAGAGAGGGGAACAGAACAAACAGATTGAAATACACTGCTGAGGGGAGCAGCGGATGATCCAGGAGAGGTCTGCTGCACCATGTGGGCTGCTTGCTCCCTGGCCACCCGGGATCGAACTCGTGCTGCAGAGTCTCATTCTAACTTTTTAGGTGTACTTTTTCAGTGAAATTGATTACATTCACATTGTGCAGCTGTTACTAATGGGCGTCTGATCATATGTTGGGATTCAATGATTGAGGTCCTTTAAGTTACTCTGAGAAAGGAAAGCAGCAAAAGAAAGCAGCAAAAGGGGAGTTTGCTAAGGAAAGAGACGGTTCCATAGACACAATTAGGCAAAGTTGTATCCAGAAGGGCAGGTTTATTAGGAAAAAGGAAAGAAGAAAGCTGGCAGAGAGCTGCTGTCTTTGTCAGAGTAAAAGGTATCTTTATATAGTCTTCTTGGGTGGCATTCACTCCTTTGTGGAATTTTTTCTATTGTGAAATCTATCACATCCAGGGCCTGATTGTATTAATCTGTAATGACTGGTGTTTCATTGTAATGACTGACAATCTCTGTATTCCCACATTGTTAATCCTTTCTAGCCCCATCTCTAAAGTTTCTGGCCTTGTGAAGCTTCCATCCTAGATTTTCTACTCTTAAGCCATCATCAATATCATTATCTATTTCCAGAACCTTTTCACTCCCCTCAAGAGAAATTCCATACCCAATAAGCAAAAATTACCCATATCTCCCTTTCCATAGCCCTGGTAGAAGCTAATTTACTTTCATTGTTTCATATAATTGGATTCATACAATATTTGTTCTTTTGTGTCTATTTCGCTTAGCATGTTTTCAAGGTTCCTAGGTTATAGAATGTAACAGAACCCCATTCTTTTGTATGGCTGCATAATATTGGCATGTTTGGATATATTGTTTGTGTACCTGTTCTTGGGCCTTTGGATTGTTTCTGCCTTGGGGTTTTGTGAATGCTTCTATGAACATGGTATACAAGAATTCGAGTCCCTGCTTCCATACTTTTGGGTGTGTGCAGATTTCCCCTGTTGTCCAAAAGTAAGACATTCTTATTTGGTATGAAATGGTAGATTGTTTTTTGGGCCTGGGAATGCTAAAACATTTTTCTATATAATTAATGGTAATAGCCTTCCCAGACCCCAAAAGGAACTCATGCCAAATAGGAAGGAACCTCATAACCAAAGTGGGACTGCTGGATCCTGTATTCATTCTATGTTTAACTTTTTAGGAATGGCCAGACATTTTCAGGGTAACTGGATCATTTTACATTTCCCCAAGGTTGTATAGTTTTAAATATAAGTCCAGTATAACTAGAACTCAATTTTTGAAAATTGGGACCATACATTTCTTTAGAGGTACTTGGTAAATTTATGTAGTGATGTGATTCTATTATAGGTCAACATCATTCCAGGATAAAAATTCCAAGAAGGTTGATTTAACTTAAAGGCAAGAACTATTAGTGAAACGTCTTTGTTCAGAGATTCCAGTGTGTTTTTCTTCCAGCAAATAAGTTTCTCTTGGCTAGGTGCTTAGACTCTGTAAAGTAAAAAAGGTACTGCCTCTTCCTATGGTAAATGATAAAATCAGATAATAAATACCAAGTAAGACTAGGGTGACAATGACAGGGTGAGATTGTTTCACAGGCCCTCTATTACCAATGAGGAAAAAAATTACCAGTAAAATCTTGTTAAAACTGCCACCAAAGAAAGAAAGACAGCCTTAAAATAATACCTCAAAATGGTAGCCAAAGAAGAAAGACTCTCAGAGACTGCATGATTGTTGGGTGGATAGCACAGTGCCCTGCATCCACTCAGAAGCAATGATGAGGGAAGATTAGTTAACAGGTCTTGGGACTTCTCAATTTGTAAAACTAGACTGAAGTACCAGCCCTAAAACAGTCAGAAAAAGGAATGAAAGTTTACCAAAAGCAAGTTGAGTTTACTTTGCTTTTTTGTGGAATTGGGGTACAGGCCAAACAACCACAGAAGTGGTGTTTTTCCTGCACTTTGGAGAAGAGAATTACCTAATTCATTGTATCAGGGTTCAACCAGAAAAAAGTCAGTATGAGATACCTATTTAGATATTTATTGTGGATCATTTTGTTACATATACCTGAAGCCAGTAGTCAAATTATGTCTCCATGAGAGAAAAAGATTTTTCACAATGAATTGGCTTAACACAGTTGTGGGAGTTACATAAGTTCCTAATTAATCAGAGAGGGCTGACTGGAACTCTCAAACTTCAGCTGAATTGCCTCCAGAAATTGGAATTTCTTCTGGGAGGCCTCAGCTCTACTCTTAATGCCTTTTCAACTGACTGAATCAGGCTCACTCTGCTACTTAGGTTATCCTGTATAAATCTACCTAATTTAAAGTTAATTGGTTGTAGACTTTACAACAAAACCAATTACAGTAACACTTAATGTTAATTTTGGTAGAATAACTGGTTACTAGAGGTCCACCAAATTGACACATAAAAATCACCCAGTAGAAATTTCATTTCTAAGGGAGCTCTTAGATTCTTTACCTATGTGTTCAAACTTTAGGCGAGTGATCAGAAAAGCAACATCGACCACTCCAGCTTTTGGTTGGGAAGGTAGTTCTTAGCAGGTAGGGAACTTGTGAAGCCTGCTCTGATAAAAGATATGAACCAGATTCCATTATGAGCGAGTCCATTATGAGCAAGATCGACAATATGTTTTTGAGAAGAAAGAATTCTTTCTGGGTTACATCATTAATATATGCTATTGTACTAGGGATTAAGTGATACAGAATAAGAAGCTTCAGAATAATAGGTGGGAAAAAAAATACTGAACAGAGAAAATCAAATTGGCCTCAGGCTTCTCACCAACCTTGGAAATCCATGGGGATAAAGTTAAGTTAACCAGGGTAATTGTTAGAGAGTAGTATATGAACTCTGATAAAGTAGAAAGAAGCTACAAAATTAAAGGATAAGAAGAAAGGTAACAATGTGAATCTCTACCTAAGATTTTAGAATGCACTCTTAACAGCTTACGGCTTTTTCTGAAAGTTTTATTAAAAATATGCAATATTTGAGGGCCTCCCTGGTGGCACAGGGGGTTAAGTCACAGCACTATGAAGCTTTTGGCAGCCATGGCAGCACGAATTTTATTCCCGGCCAGGGAGCCAACCCACATGGCACAGCAGACCTCTCCTGTCTCGCCAACTGCTCCCCTCAGAGCAGTGTGTTTCAGTAGATCTGCCTGTTCTGCTCCCCACTCTGTCTCTGGTGAATCCTGTTGTATGCATAAATAAATCTTTTTTTTTTAATATGCAATATTTGAAGGATGAATTATTTTTGATTATACTTTTAGTATGTATCAGTATAGTGTGGTTGATAATCTTCAGAAACTATAATATTGTGTGCACACAAAAAGATGCCTAGAGTGGGTATTACCGTCACTAGGTATTTCTGGGTTTTAAGAGCATTCTCGCATATGGCTTCTCCCCTCTCCCCCTCTTTAATGAACATGTGTCAGGTTGAGAAGGCAGTCTCCAGTTTCTCATCCTTTCCATGGCAGCATAAGAGTGGCCTTGGACCTGGAACATTTCATTTCAAAGAGATAAAGAGCCCTCAAAACTAGTGCTGGACATGTCTCTTTGTTAGGAGTATCTTTCCCTACTGGGGTTTGATGTGTACTTTATTCTCCTTCAGCATGTGTCATATGGTAGCTGTCCAGCATACTTGAGTGTGGCGTGGTGTTTTGTAAATTGGGTGCAGTGTTAAAACAATTGATTTCCAGCTCAGTGCTGGTTCTTCTTGAGTGCCTACTATTCTTGTGTTATTTTTTTTTTTCTTTAAATAATTATATTGTAGAAGAACTGGGGAGTAGGCCAGAGTTTCCTGGAGTGAGAGGATTCACCAGAGACAGAGTGGGGAGCACAAGTGGATTTACTGAAATACACTGCTGAGGGGATCAGTGGGCGAGACAGGAGAGGTCTGCTGTACCATGTGGGTCAGCTCCCTGACTGGGGATCGAACTCAGACTCTGGTGATGATAGTGCTGAGACTTAACCCACTAAGGAGGCCCTTTTGTGTCATTTTATAGCACTTTACAAGCAGTGTTATTTCACATACCAAATCATATTAGTTTGCTACTATTCCCAAGATGCTTACATTTTAAAAGCTTTGCTAGATTGTGCCATACTCACTCAAAGTAATGCATTAAATTCTGAATTCAGGTAAATATTTGCAGAATGTTAGTGAAAGGAATCTGTTTTTGTTTTAAAAATTTTCACATTTCGTTGACTTTAAGATCCCATCTACTGTTAAACTTAAGATTCTATTTTTTAAAAAGCACTTCACATCTTAGGAAAAGATGCATTTCAGTTTTAGTAAGTGAGGAAGAACATCTTGTGGAAATACTGAAATACAGTAGGTTAGTTACCTTTAAGGAAGTGGTTAATCACTAGACCAATAAAATGTTGTATAGCACACAAAACATAGTATGTTGTCTTTGACTTCGCTTTTGGTACTAATAGTCTGATTTTAAGTCATCAAAGTTTCAAATCTTGAGGCTGGTAAGGGGAATATTTGGGGACAAATAGTATTATTACCTGCTTTAAAAATTCAATCACGCGTAAGACTATGATAGTTTCTAACATAAATCACAGTTCAGACACAGTTCATTAATTGCATGTCATTCTTTGTTATATTATTAATTAGTCAATTGTAATTTTTTTTTTTTTTTTTTTTAATCAGGATGGATGCAACCTTGAAAGAACTGACTAGTTTAGTAAAAGAAGTCTACCCAGAAGCTAGAAAGAAGGGCACACACTTTAATTTTGCAATTGTTTTTACGGATCTTAAGAGACCTGGCTATCGGTAGGTAAATTCCTATGATTTCTTTCTGGCTTTACTGTTTTAATTAGGAGGGATAATATCTTTATTGAATTTCTTTTGTGGGGGAGAATATAAATTTATATTCTTTTTTTAAGATTTATGCATATAAGAACTGGGGAATGGGCTAGAGGTATTGGGCCGGGGGGGGGGGGGTGAGAGAATTCACCAGAGACAGAGTAGGGAACAGAACAGGCAGAATGACTGAAATAATCTGCTTAGGGGAGCAGCGGGCAAGACTGGAGAGGTCTGCCCCGCCATGTGGATTGCTCCGCGGCCTACGGGGATTGAACATGCGCTGCAGAGGCTGTAGACAGCTTCACAGCGCTGTGCTCAACTGCCTGCGCCACCAGGGAGGCCCTAAATTTATATTCTTAATATAATATTAATATTTGGTTTAGCTTAATTTAGAACTTACATTTTTGAATTGTCCAAGAAGATGGTGAAATAATTTGGGTCCCCTAGTGACATTTAAGTACATATTAAGGTTTCATGGTTTTGTGATCCATTAACAGTTGATCTCCTTTTCTGCAGAGTAAAGGAGATTGGCAGCACCATGTCTGGGAGAAAGGGGACCGATGATTCCATGACCCTGCAGTCGCAGAAGTTCCAAATAGGAGATTATTTGGACATAGCAATCACCCCTCCAAATCGGGCGCCACCTCCTTCAGGGCGCCTGAGACCATATTAAAATTTATCTACTATTCTTGAATTATTTTTCATTCAGTTATGTAAAATAAACTCTCCTTTCCTCATTGCCATTAAGCCTTTAAACTCTTAAACAAATTGTAATGCATCTATTTAGGAGTTAGATTTGGCTATGCTTCTGTATGGATATTAATAGAAAGTCCTTATGTTTCAAGTCCTATAAAATTTGAAGAAAAGTGCTCTTAGCATTATATGTAAAACTGTATTGTTAAATATATGTGTGCAATCAGTCTGCGTGTGAAAATTAATGAAAACATGGGGACAGGGTTTAATTAAGAATTTGGGGTTTATGCTCAGTACAGGATGATATGTTTAAGCCCAAATGGAGCAGAACAAAACAAGTTGTGGGGTTATAAATAGAAGAGGAGTTTGTGGCCTAGACCACTGTGTGCAGTTAGCAGAAACCCTTGAAAATGAAGTATTTTAGAATAAGAACTGAGGCAAATTGAGGAAGCTGTGTTTGAAGAAACTGGCCTGCCTGAATCAGGATACAGTAACAATAAAAGTTAGAGAAAACAACATGTGTACAAAGGCTGTTTTAAAAATGTAGTTGATAAGGGCATTTTGAAGACAAACCAGTATAAAGGAAACACAGGTTAGAACTAAGGGTAAATGTGGAAAGGTTTATATTGAAGATATGAAAATGTAAAAAGGTGAAAGATGAAGTAAGAGCAAGGGGACATGAACCAGGGGTGAGGTTAAATAAGTGGGGGATATTCAAATAGCCAGTAAGGAGTAGGGGGCTGCCTTTATCTGGATGAATCCAGATGAATGGCAGTATGCACAGTTGTCAAGTCCAGGTAGGCTAAGTATTTAAAACCTGGTTGCATCAGTAGTTCTACAACCTTGGACAAGTTACTTATTTTTTAAGTTTGTAAAATGTAGAAAACCCATTAAGAATGGTGAAGAGCAAATGTTTGAAAGGGATTAGAATAGTCACTGACATGTAAGAAAAAAATTACTAATAGTCATAAAATATAGTTCAGTCAGAGCTGGAACATTATCTTCCATGGCACTATCAACATTGTCATTTTGAAGCTTACATGAACAGTATTACAGTATATAGTAAACAGTACTGTTTATCAGAGAATTGAAAATGGCAGTTCCAGTATGAAGAAATGTACTAGCAGTGATTTTCAAAATAAGATCACAGTTTTATGCTTTCGAAAGCAGCCTTTTAAAATATAATGGTTCTACGAAATTGGTTTTTGTTGCAAAGTGAATCAACAGATGGTGAGACAAACTTGAAAGCTAGGTTTACTTCTGTAGTTTACCCAAGTCCATAAATTTTTTCAGACTTGATTAAGTTGAATTCTGTACCTCATAAAAATTTAAACCTAGGGGGTTATTTTGGAAGAGCCATGATTACCTTTCTATTTGCGAACAAGAAACTAATTCACTGCAGATCAAGAAGGCAGGAACTAAATGAAGTACCTTTGTAAGCCAATTTTTCATAGGCTATGAACTACAATGAGGGATCGCTTAAAGGTTATTCTTCTATTAATTTAACATGGTTTGTTTGGTTCCAGCATGGAATTTTTCCTTTTTAGATTTCAGTCTTTCACCAAAAGTACAGTTAACCCTTTGCACTCCGCTGTCCCCTCTCAGGGGACATCGGAATTCTAGCATATCACTCGGATGTCCCCTCTCAGGGGACATTGCAATTTATTAGTGATTACGGGGAATTGAGGTTATTTCAACGCAACTTTTGAGACATGCATGTTTCCCTGAAGTTTTATCTTGAAATGGCACAAGAAATTAAATCAAAACGTAAAATGGTTCGGGGTGCAAAGGGTTAAAGAAGACCTAGTGACTTTATTATTGAAGATAATGCTGAGAGTCAATGCTTGTGCTTCATCTTATTTACCACTGGCATTGCTAAGTAATTGAGCTTTTTCCTCATATATATAATAGAAATAAATGATCACATGACAGCACCGTGGTGGGTACTTTAGTACTGAGTGCTCATAAGGTTATTTTGGAGTTAAGATTTCCCCTGTGAAGTGTGCGTTATATAGTACATGTATTGCCTGTATTTTCAGTTTTCTCACGATGTACATGAACATAGTATTTTCAGTTATTTGCTAGGTCTTAATACGGAAGACAACATTAGATTTATACTTAAATTTTACACAAAATAGCCGGAGCTATTATACCCATAGTAATCATTGACTTGGGTGATGTTTGGGTACCAGTTTTCTGTACATGTGCATGTGAGGAGGAGGTGTGAAGGGAGAGAAAACTATTAAACTGCTAGGTTAGGATTCAATCACATTCCACTTTTGTTTTTTGTGAAACTGAGAAAGCAGCACCCTAAAAGTATGCTCAGAATTTTAGTGCTAAGCTGTGTCAAATACTGTGCAAAGGAACTTTATACTATGTCACTGAATCTTCAGTGACTAAACATTTACAGGTGAGAGTGAGTTAAGCTTTAAACAACAGCTCAAAACTACAGGAATATGAATCTATGTAATGAACGAATTCAGGTTTCCAGAAATATAGTGTTCTTTCAGATTTTTTAAATTTTCAACTGACTGTAATCTGGTTTACATCCAGGGCTCCTCTGGCAGTGACATTACCCTTTGAAATATCTGCCAAGGTACTGTGATCTAGAGTGTGGACCTTTATACGAACCCAAAACACCTATCTTTTAAAGAAATCATATGGGCATGGTTTCTACTTTCATATCAGAACATGCAAATGAGGACTGCCTGTTGTGGTTCATATTTTGTTGCTTAGATGCAGGTATTTTTTGCAAATGGCTGTAATTTCTTGAGGTCTGCAATAGAACAAATTTGAAGGAAGTATATTCGGTAAGGATTAATCATGAGTAGACGATTACTCTGTCAAGACAAAGTTTTAGACTTCACCCTCCCTTACCCCTAATCCCTAGGGGGAATAAGCTAAAAACCAAGCAACAATTTTAGGACTAAATGCAAAAAGTAATTATAATAAAAATTGTCAGCCTTGAATGTCATGTGGAAATTATTGTAGAAATTACAATTATCTACCTCATAAAATTATTTATTAAATCACCAATGAAATGGTGACTTTGGTAGAAGGTGAATGGTCGGTAGCTATTTGAAAAGAAAAAAAAAAAAAAATGTGGCAACACCTCCACTTCGTACCTTTGATTGTTTAGAATTTCCCAGCCTATTGAAGCTATCAGGCCAGCCCAAATATAAGCAACATCTAAGGAAATTTCAGGTAGAATTTGATGGAAACAATTTAAATTACAAGTGAGATATTTTCAAAATCTAAGTTCTTAGAAGAGTTGTGGAAACTCAGAATTCATACCATTCCTGGTTAACAGTGTTCAGTACTTTGTCAGGGAATAAGATACATTTAATGAATGCTTATTATGTACCTGGTATGATGTGCCTGGTGGTACATGATAAATCTGACAGATACAGAGCCTTCCTTGGACTCTTGCAACTATTAATAAAAGGTATAAATACTGATGATGAAAGGTAGATAAGACATATTGCTCTGAAGAAGGAATTGGAGGAATTCCAATTGAGGGAATTTAACTCCTAAAAAGATTTATACCCTAGATAAATTATATACCAAGAACAAAGGCATCAACTAGAAATGACAGAACTCAATCAGTGGGGCACTAAATACATACTAATACTAACTTTGGCTGGAGTTCAGGATAAAGGAATGTCATGAGAAAAGTAAAGCTATCATTTGCAGATGACATACATAGAGAACCCAAAGGATTCCACTAAAAAAGTAATTGAGGGCCTCTCTGGTGGCACAGGGGGTTGAGCTCAGCGCTGTGGGGCTGTCCAGGGCCCTTGCGGCACGAGTTAAATCCCGGGCCGGCTGGTGAGCAGCCCACATGGTGCAGCAGAACTTGCCTGTCTCGTCTGCTGCTCCCCTCAGCAGTGTATTTTGGTACATCTGCCTGTTCTGCTCCCCGCTGTCTCTGGTGAATCTTTTCACCATGACTCTGGCCTGTACCCCACTTCTTAAAGTAATTGAAACAATATGTTCAAGAAAGTGGTAGATTATAAAATCAGTACACAAAAATCACTTGCCATCTTATATGTAACCAATAAGAGCTATAAGAGGAATTAAGAAAACAATCCCATTTACAATTACATCAAAAAGAAATACCTAGGAGCAGACTTAACAAGGAAGGCGAAGGACTTACATAAAGAAAACTTTAAGATATGGCAGATGACACAAAGAAATGGAAAGATATTTCAGCTCATGGATGGGAAAAATGAACATTGTCAAAATATCCATCCTACCTAAAGCAATATACAGATTAATGTCCTTACTAAAGTTTCAATGGCATTCTTCAAAGAAATGGAGCATTAATGAAATGCATACAGACCCACAAAAGACCTCAAATAGCTAAAACAATGCTGACAAAAAAGAGGAAGAAAGATGGTATCACACCTGCAGACTTCAAGCTACACTAAAAAGCTGTAATAATCAGTAGTATGGTACTGGAACAAAAACAGACCAATGGAATAAAATTGAGAGGCCAGAAATAAACCAGCATTTCTACAGATCATTTTATGTACAACAAAGCCAGGAAAGACTGGAGAATGGAAAGTCTCTTCAATAAATGGTACTGGGAAAACTGGACAGCCACATGTAAAAAGAATGAAACTAGACCTCTATTTCATACCACACAAAAAAATTAACAAACCATAAAATACATTGAAGAAAACATAAGCAAAACAGTACAAAACATAGACTTCATGTCTTTGTGGCTTCTACAACAGCAAGAACAAAGGAAATATAAACAATTAGGACTACATCATACTAATAAGCAAAAGAAACTGTCACTAACAAAAACAAAAACAAAGAGAAACCCCACCGACTGGGAGAACATTTTTGCACACACTAATGATAAAGGACTGATCACAAAAACCTACAAAGAGCTGATGAGACTCAACTAAAACAAAGAAAATAATCCAGTCAAAAAATGGGCAGAAGAGCTAAAAAGAAACTTCTCTGAAGAGGAAATGCAAATGGCCAACAGGCATATGAAAAAATGTTCAACATCACTTGTCATCAGGGAAATGCAAATCAAAACTACCATGAGATATCATCTTACACCAATGAGAATGGCACATATTAAAAAAACTAGCAACAACAAATGTTGGCGAGGGTGTGGAGAAAAAGGAACTCTCCTGCACTGTTGGTGGGAGTGCAAACTGGTCCAACCACTATGGAGAGCTGTGTGGAGATTTCTGGACCTACTAAACATAGAGCTTCCATATGATCCAGCAATTCCACTCCTAGGTATTTACCCAAAGGAGACAGAAACATCAATTCCAAAGAGCACCTGCACCCCTATGTTTATAGCAGCACTGTTTACAATAGCTAAGCTTTGGAAACAGCCCAGATGCCCAAAAATAGATGACTGGATCAAGAAGATGTGGTACATATACACCATGGAATATTACTCAGCATTTAAAAAGATAAACACATGCAATTTGCAGCAACATGGATGGCGCTGGAAGGGATCATGCTCAGCGAAATAAGCCAGAAAGAAAAAGAAAAATACCGGATGGTCTCACTCATAGCAGGAATCTAGAAAACTTAAATAAGGGACCAGGAAAATGAATAACTATAAGAAAGAAAATATCAGGGTCAAGAAACAACTATGAACCAGAGACACTCTATGGGGGGTGGTGGGCGGGGAAAGGAGGGCTTGGGGTCAAAATAGGGGGGTTGTAATTGTAAGGGGAATATAAAAATAAAATTTAAATAATAAAAAAAGAAACTCACTAAGACAACTTACTGAATCAGAAAAGATAACTGTTTACCATACCGATATCCAATAAAGCAGTGATATCCATGATCTAGAAATAACTCTTGCAACTCAACAACAAAAAATAAATTGCCCAATCCAAAAATAGGCAAAAGAGTAGAAAGACAATTCTCCAAATAAGTTATAAGGCTGGTCAACAGGCACATGAAAAAATGCTCATCATTAATACAAATCAAAACCACGAGATACCACCTAACATCTGTGACAATGGCTCATATCAAAAAGACCAGAAACAAGTGCGGATGATGATGGAGAAGAAAAAGAAGCCTCTTACGTTGCTGGTGGGAATGTAGCCTGGTCCTGCCCTTATGGTAGTGGTATGGAGTTTTCTCAAAAGATTAAAAACGTATCTGCCATTTGACCCAGTAATTCCACCCTAGATATTTATCCAATGAATACAAAAACACTAATTCAAAGTGAAATATACACTCCTGTATATTTACAATAGCCTAGTTATGGAACCAAACCATGCCAAAAAAACAGATGTGGTATACAGATACAATGTAGAAAGATAAACTGAAAATTTGTGACATGGATGGCTCTGGAGGGAATTATGCTAAGCAAATTAAATCAGAAGGAGAAAGACAAACAGCGGACAGATGGTGTCACTTATATGTGGAACATAGAGAAACAAAAGGTCAGATAGAGCCAAGCTACTAAAAAAAAACTAGAAATCTGACTGTAGAACTAAGGCAATCAGAAGAGGGAGGGGGAGAGGAAGAGGTGAGAACAAGTTGGAGAGGGAGCACAGTGGACTTGGTGGTGGACTATGGGTGGACTTTGGTGGTGGGTGTAGTGCACCAACAACACCTGAAGGGGGTGATGCTATACCTCTAAAACACAATGTTGTAAACCAGTGTTACCACAACAAAAATTTTAAAAGTAAACTCAAATCCCCTTTTTTCACTTAACAATGTTGAATGTAATTAAACTTTCCTACAATATAAGTTATATCATTGTTAACTATAAGGACATTATTTACCACCTTACATCCTTTTGCAATAATCAAGGTGAGAACTGCAGTAATGGCAGAGAATAGAGGACAGGGAACAATTCCCAGAACTGACAGGATGTTTATAAGATTTGGCAACCAAGATTTGGGGTGGGAATTGGGATATGGAAAAAGGAAAGTCAATCATTAAAGCCTGTTTCCTCAACTGAAATATTGGATTATAGCACCTATTTTAAAACAATCTTAAGAGTTACATGTTAAGGGCCTCCCCAGTGGCGTTGGTGGGTTGAGTGCAGCACTATGAAGCTGTCCGCGGACTCTGCAGCACAGGTTCAATTCCCGGCTGGCCAGGGAGATACCCACATGGCGCGGCAGACCTCTCCTGTCTCGCCTGCTGCTCCCCTCAGCAGTGTTTTCGGTCATCTACACATTCTGCTCCCCACTCTGTCTCTGGTGAATTCTGTCACCCTCCCATGCCTCTGGCCTGTACCCCAGCTCTTGTATAAGTGAATAAATCTTTTTTAAAAATTTATATTAAAAAAAGAATTACATATTAATAAGTGTTTTATATTTAGAACCATGACAAGTAAAGATCTCAATAACTGATGTCATTAATTCATTGAATAATAAATTGCAAGTTAACAGCATAATGAGCAAAGCAAACAAGTCCTTACCCTCATTGAACATATGACCTAGTGGATGAGACAAATTTATTAGAAATTCTACCAACTTCTATGAAGGATGTGAACAGGGTGCTGACAAAGAACTGGTAGGACCTCCCTCGTGGCCTAGGGGTTAAGTCTCAGCACTATCACTACTATGGCCTGAGTTCGATCCCTGGCCAAGGAGCTAACCCACATTAGTGCAGACCTCTCCTGACTCGCCCACTGCTCGCCTTAGCACTGTATTTCTGTGGCTCTGCCTGTTCTGCTCCCCACTCTGTCTCTGGTGAATCATCTCACTCCCCTGCTCCTCTGGCCTATACACCAGTTCTACACAAAAAAATTGAACAACAACAAAAACTGAGTTAAGTAGGTTTTTGATAAAAGGACATTTAAGCTGAGACCTGAAGCAGATCAGCTTAGATTAAATTTCAAATAACAAGAAAACTCACTAACTAAAGGGCTTCATGAATTTATTTTTTTTAAAGATTTATTTATTTATTTATACAAGCACTGGGTACAGTCAGAAGCGCAGGAGAGTGAGAGAATTCACCAGAGCCAGAGCGGGGAGCAGAGCAGGCAGAAGGACCGAAGTACACTGCTGAGGGGAGCAGCGGGCGGCAGGAGAGGTCTGCGGTCCATGTGGGACCCTCCTCTGGTGGCTGGGGAGCAGCTGGGGATCGAACCAGCACTGTAGAGGCTGCGGGCAGCTTCGCAACCCAGCGCTCAACTGCTGCGCCACCGGGGAGGCCCACTTCATGAATCTTAACAGAAAGGACATGAGCTAGACTTGGCTGGTTTAGGTCAGCTGGCTCACTGAAGGCAGGTCTCTCATTGAAGTTCACTGGGACGCTCCCTTCTTGGTTGGGAGACTGGCAAGCAGCTCCACATGTACATGTCTGTGTACCCAGAAGAGGAAAGTAGGACTTTTTGCCAACATTACCCACAGCCCCTAATTGGCTCTCACTAATGGGACCTGGATCACATGTCCATCACTGACTGTGCTCAGAGATTTGGATGCAGCTTGGTTGAGTCTGGAGCTGCACTATTAAGTTCAAGAAAAGTCAGAATATTGTTTCCCCTTAAAGGGTCAATAGTAGTAGGCAAAATGTCGGGTACGTACAGCATAAGAATGAGAGGTAATTAGCTAACCTGAGTGGGTGGGAAAAAGTATTCCAGGCAGAGAGCAGTGCATGAATCCTAAGGAACGAAGGGAAGAAAGGCTAAGTGTCCTGTGTGGTTAGAGTGCAGTAAGGGAGGGAGAAAGTACCCAGGGTCAATTCATACAAGGTCATGTAGACCTTATCAAGGCCCTTGGTTTTCATTTAAAAAGCAATGGAGACAGTAAAGGGGCTTTAAGCAAGAGAGACATGCTTGAAAGACCCTAACATTTGAAGCTTGGTAAGCTGATAGTTCTAGTAACAAATTAGATCACAGGAGGAAAGCAGTAAGAATCATTGAAAGAGAGGGCCTCCCTGGTGGCACAGCAGGTTGAGTGCAGCACTGTGAAGCTGTCTGCAGCCTCTGCAGCACGGTTTCAATTCCCGGCTGGCCAGGGCAATACCCACATGGCAAGGCAGACCTCTGGTGTCTCACCCGCTGCCCCCTTGAGCGGTGCTTTTGGTCCGTCTGCTTGTTCCGCTCCCCACTCTGTCTCTGGTGAATTCTCTCACCCTCCCGTGCCTCTGGCCTGTACCCCAGCCTTGTATAAATAAATCTTTGAAAAAGAATCGTTGAGAGAAATACTGGACAAAGTGACTTTGAGGAGAGGCCATTATAAAATGAGTGGAGATACCAAACAGGCAATCAGAAATCATTATTTCCCATCTTAAAAGATTTATTTTTGGTTCATGTCCCTCTCTAGTTGCACCATTTTTCTTCTCTTTAGTAAAACTGTCTAAAGAACTTTCTTACCTTTCTGTTTCCTCACCCCTTCTCTCCAGTCCATACAAATGTATCCCTAGCCTCAGTCAAAATTAATCAGTGTTGCCAATACCAGTTTTGCCAAATCTAAAATTCTTTTTACTTGGATTTTCAGCAAAATTGACAGAATTGATCACTCTCCTTAAAATGTTTTCTTCCTACTTTAATGCCTTCTCATTCTCCTTTGTTAGATTGCATTGCCTCTTTCCATCTCTTATAGTTAGAAGAACGTCAGGATTCAGTACTATCATCACTCTGCATATACTCCCTTCTTAAACAATTGCATCCACTCTATGGGTATATGAACATATAATTATGGTAAATAATGAACAAAAGCTTCATATGAGGCTGACTAGAGCTTTACCTTGAAAAATAAAACCAAGTATCTTGAAAAGAATTTAACAAAATTATAATTATGCAATAGGTAGGATTAAATCAGTTTGTGGTAATTTTCTCATAAAATGAAAAGATCACAATATGGTAAGTCTTTCACATTTGACTTTCAAGGCATAATCATAAAAAGGGTAATTTTTACTGCGTCCTATTTCCCAAACTGAGCCTTTGAAATACCTGGTGCTGATACTTGTCATATGTTTCTTCTCAAATTTCTCACTGGTCTGCACAATATACTTAGTTGTTATTTTCCCTAAGACATTAATCTGAAAAGTTCATCACGTTCATGAGCTTAACAAAATTATTTTCCAATTAGAGTGAATGGGGAAGTTCTGGGTGTGATGCCCAGGGAAGTCTGCAGTTGTCAGTAGTTCTAGAAGCACTCAGTTTGTCTCCTCTGGCCACAGCTGACAATCCACAGAAGGGCACCTGGTCCAGGAAGTCATGAGAACATTCCAGAGAGCCTAGCTCATGCTCTGGTGGTTGGTAAAGTTGAAGAGAGGAGTTCGGGGAGGTAAGCAGCCTTGTGGTGAATAGAACTGATTTGAAAGGATGAAACTCATATGAAGTAAAATGGCAGGAGTAAAAAGGGGAAAATACCTCCACACATCCTGCCTCCAACTGAGACCTATTACCCTGCAGTTACCTATGTATACCTGTATATTCCCACCTTCTAAAATAAGCTGTCATTTAAAAGTGTCCTATTAAAATGAAAGGTGCAAAAGGCTTTGCCATGAGTGGGGGCAGAAAAGCAGAGCTAGGATCAAAGAAGAAGCACAGTTCTATGGGGTACCAATAACCACTTAGCCCCAAGAATATCAGGAATAACTTTATTTGAGTAGCAAACTAACATTTACAATTTTTAAATTATTTATCCTGCTTGCTAATATTTCTTAAATCACTGTTAGATTAGGCAGGGCAAATTTGAAGTCAATGAAACAGTAATTATCATTAAAATGGAATAACTGAACTATATGTCAATACTGTGATTAAACTATATCAAAGCTTAATTAAAAAGAACACTATGACATCAGTGTCCATGCTTATCTTCCCTATGGGCTGGTTTTTAAAAAGGGGGCAAGAAGTAGGAGGATGTGAGTGACAGTCCAGCTCTGCTTTCATCTTATTTTGAATGAATCTGCTGGAAGCTCTGCAAAAGGATACAAATAAAAATACCAATTACACAGAATTCATAACCATCAACAAACAAATGACACAACATTGTGCGTATATATTTTTATACTTAAAAAAAGTTGGGAACAGATTCCCAATGGTAACATCAAACTTGCTAGTATGGGGGTCTGAGATGCAGCGATCATAAGTGTTATATCAAAAAATAGCGACAGGTTGTTAACCTAAGTTGCCAAATGTTAGATTTTAATTAAATTTACAAAATTTTACTATTCAAGTGTTAATTTTAAATGTTCTCAACACACTTACTTTCTTTAGAAAGTATACTCACTTTCACCAGTTTTCTTTGTTGCCGACATCTTGGCTGCTTTGATCTTTATATTTAGTAAGGAGCACTTTGCTGGATGGCACAGCTTTAACTGCTACTGGAGTAGCTAGCTTTGAGTTGTATTTTGATAAAATCTAAAACAAAGCAAATTCCTTTTTATCAAGTCATATATGAAAAATGTAACAGGAATCTGCAGGTAAGTAAAGTCAAGGAAAATTAGAAGATGTAGGTTATTTGAAATAGTAGGAATTTCTTAGCAGCAGGGACAGATGTTTAACAGCAAAGAAAAGACGGAGATAGTAGAAATGTAACTTAGATGTGTAGGCTGATTTCTTAAGCCTTGTAAAAGGTACTGTGAAGGCTAATGGAAAGATGTAGCAATGCATTCGTGAGAGCAGATAAAGCCTTTACAAAGATGTGAAAGTAAGAGGAGAAGTAACTACTCAGAGGAAAAATCATTAGTTATAAAAATTATAAAGAATCCAAAATATCTGCTATGACTTCTTCACATAATGCATTAAATACAAGATTTCCCTCTGTTTACCTAAAAATAAGGATCAACCACACCAAGTGGAAACAACATTTAACTACTAGAGACAGATGATGCACCTTCATTACTCAATTTGTATGCTCAAGGAAGCAGAAAAAAATAGATAAGGAAGGATAATAAATTTTTTGCTGTTATCTTTGGATGGGTCCATTCTAATAACATTTGGGTATTTTCCCTAGTAGTTTTATCTTCCTCATAGCTCTCCATAAGCTAGGAAGATTTCTAGAATGGTTATTAAGAATTCCATTTGCCTAGGCATAATTGCCAGACACTAAAACTTCTATTTAGAGGGGTGGATGCTTCAGATGGGTGGTTAATTAGCAAAGTTGGCAGTTATTAGCAGTGTGGTAAGTTATGTTGTACTAAAAAATCAGATATTCTATTTAAATCAGTGTTTCTCAAATGGAGGTTCAAGGCATATCAAGTTCAAGAAACTGATAGAAATTATTCGTGATACCCTACTCTGTAGAACTGTGGGATACATGACATTTCTGTTTTGCCAGCAACATCTACAATGGAAATCAGGGTCAACATGGCAATGAGGGTGAACAACTATTAAAAATATTATGTATTTCAGAACATAAATTTAAAGTGAAAATTCCCCTTGATGGCGTAAGTATGAAATCACTAGCTTGTGCTCAGTTCAGAAGAATCTTTGCCAAATTGGTCTTGAGAAGGCCCTAACAGCTCAGAATTCAGCTTTTCTCAATACCCAAACCAGCTCAAAAATAAGTTAGTTTATACAGTTTCAGGTTTTTAATACAAGTATCTATTTCCAAAAGAACATATATATATATATATATATATATATATATATATGAAAAATAGCCTGGAAAAATAACCTGCAGAACATCTTCTGGAATTGTAGTTACTTCTGGAGGTATAGGTGTTCTGAGAAGATTCTCATAAGAAGAAATTTTAGGAGATGAGGGAGCCGCAAAATTCTGAAAGCACTCGTCCGAATTTAAAAATAATGATGTGCAGTCTTTCATTTCCAAATCATTTGATGAGCAATTTGTTTCTGATAATGAATCATTTGCGGATGCCTAATAGATAAAAAGTCATTAAATTATGGTGATTAAAAATATGGTGATAAGTGAAAATCAAGTCAATTCTTAGTTCTGTTGTGATCTCTAAGTAAATTCCAAAATGATCCTCTCTTCTATGACTAAGTACTACATAAAATTGAGAAAACAAACCAATGGCATATAGAGGACAAAAAGACCATCTCGATTACTTGGGCTGTCTTAACTAGAGCTTAATATGAAAACTAAGTGTACTTATCTGAACCGACTGAGATGGACTCACCCATTCATTCTCAGACAGCAGTAAATTTGACCATATAAGTCGGCACATGGATGAGCAAAAGTGTCGCCACATGCCCTTCCTCCCAAGGAGAGAGCAAATCTGAGATAAGCTAAGCATGCCATTCATTCATGCTAAGACCAACTGGGGAAGTTACCCCATCTCCTGAGGATTGGAGTTAAGAGGGAGAATAACATCAACAGAGAGCCTTTTGGATGAAGAGGAACTTAAGGGGTGTACTGACTGTAAATGGGAAGTACAGCAAGCAGATAACCTGATACTTCAACTGATAGTCCAGCATTTTCCTCGTCTACAGGTGTAATGCCTAACATAGTAGCCACAAGCTATATAGAGTGATTTAAATTTAATTCCAATTAAAAATATTAAGGGCTTCCGTGGTGGTGCAGGGGTTAAAGACACAAGTCTATTAAGCTATCGCCAGCCACTGCTGCATGATTTCAATCCCCGGCCAGGGAGCTAACCCACATGGCACAACAGACCTCTCCTGTTTGGCCTGCTGCTCCCCTCAAAAGTGTATTTCAGTCAATCCATCTGTTCTGCTCCCCCCCGTCCCAGTGAATCCTCTCACCCTCCCTGCAACTCTTGCCTACATTCCAGCTCTTGTACACATAAATAAAATAAATCTTGGGCTTCCCTGGTGGCACAAAGGGCTGAACACAGCACTGTGAGGCTGTCTGCAGCCTCTGCAGAAAGAGTTTGATCCTTGGCAGACTAGGGAGCTACCCACATGGCGTGGTGAACCTCTCCTGTCTAGCCCACTGCTCCCTTCAGCACTGTTGATCTGCCTGTTCTGTTCCCCCCTCTGTCTCTGGTGAGTCCTCTCACCCCCCTCCCCCAAGCCTCTGGCCTGTGCCCTGGTTCTTGTATGCATAGGTAAATGGATCTTAAAAAAAAAAAAAAAAAAAGAGTAAAATAAATCTTTATAAAAAATACATTAAAAATTAGTTCTGAGCCACATTTTATGCTGAAAACAAGTAAATTAGTAGCTAATAAACTAGAATGCAGATTACAGAACATTTTCAGGGCAGAACATTCTTTTTTTTTTTTTAAAAAAAAAAGATTTATTTATTTATTTATACAAGCACTGGGTACAGTCAGAAGCGCGGGAGGGTGAGAGAATGCACCAGAGTCAGAGCGTAGAGCAGAGCAGGCAGACTGACGAAGTACACTGCTGAAGGGAGCAGCGGGTGGCAGGAGAGATCTGCGCGCCATGTGGGACCCTCACCTGGTGGCCGGGGATCAAACCGGCACTGCAGGGGCTGCAGGCAGCCTTGCAAACCAGCACTCAACCGCTGCGCCACAGGGGAGGCCCCATAAATGGCAGAACATTCTAATGGATAGCTCAGTGTACTGCATCGTCTTGTGTTCACACTAACTTTAAAAAGGACTGAGGTTTTTTTATTTATTTTTAAAGATTTATTTATACAAGAACTGGGGTACAGGACAGAGAAACAGGAGGGTTAGAGAATTCACCAGAGACAGAGTGGGGAACAGAACAGGCAGACTGACTGAAATACACTGCTGAGGGGAGCAGTGGGCAAGACAGGAGAGGTCTGCTGCGCTATATGGGTATCTCCCTGGCCGGCTGGGAATCAAAACTGTGCTGCAGAAGCTGCAGATAGCTTCACAGTGCTGCGCTCAACCCGCTGCACCACCGGGGAGGCCCTGAGGTTTTTGATTATAGTAAATTTGTTCAGTGAGAAAAATTTGAATTAAAGTAAGCACAAAAAAATCTCCCATATATCTATCATCCATGGATAATCACATTTTGGCATATTTATATCCATTCTTTTTCCTTAACATGTGTGTGTGTGTGTGTACATACACAGATATCATTTTCCATCATTAAGTATTTCCTGAGAACACTTTTTTATATATTGTTGTTCAAAACATATGATAGTTATATAACATCAGATCTATGGATACCACTTGTATTTTGCATCTCATCCATCATCTGACATTTGGATTCTTTTCCATGTTTTGCTCTTATCAATAATGTTCTATTCTGTCACATCCTTATCTAAGGTATTTTGTCCCAACGTACCTTAGAATAAATTCTGAGACATGATTGGAGGGTATGAACAAATTTTAAACTCTTGATATGTGCTATTAAATTACCCTCCAGAAATATATTGTAAATACACTCATAAAGGCTATTATCAGTCTTAAATTTTTTAAAGCCCGGTTGAGTTGGGAAATAGTAGTGCATTTTGTCATTTGGAAAAAGGTTAGAGCTTTCAATTTTATGGAAATTTACCAAAGCTGTAATGTTCTTTGTAGAAGGAATTTTCAAACCAGGAGTGCAGAATGTAGGTACCAATGGGGAATTTGTATATTCAGCATCTAGAAGATACACGGGATGGTATAAAAAAATAAATATCTGAAAATAAAGTTGTAAGAATTTCAACTTTTAAATTATAATAATGATCAATAATGACAATAAATACATACATATCAATAACCAAATATTCATCTACAAAAAAAGATGAAATCTTGACATATGCAACAGATATCATATGATCTCACTCATAGATCATAAAGCAAATAAATATAAAAAAATACTTAAGAATCTGTCAACAGAACTGTGGTTAGTAGAAGGGAAGAAGGATAGGGGCATGGGTAAAATCAGCAATGGAGGCCAATGTATGATTTTAGATGGAAACTAGACTTTCGGTTGTGATCACAACATGGTATATACAATGTAAAGTTGTACACCTAAAACTTTGGAAAAAAAAAACCAACAAAGATCCACAAGTGAACAATAATTCCCATTCCACAAGTCACAAAGATTTTCTCTTTTATCATTTTCTAAAGTTCATAATCCATTGAGAACTTATTTCTGACCTATTTTTAAAAACTAGGCTACTCTTTGATATAATCATGTTCTCTTATGAGTTATAAGCTTACTATGAGTGAGTTTTATATTTTCACACTTATTTGTGACAGCAGCATTTAATTTAATGACATAATTTAACAAAATATAAGTCAGTGAAACTGGTACAAAAAGAACTTTTCTGAAAATACATTAAAAATTTGAGAATAAGACAATTTCCTTTAAAAAGCTTGCCAATAAATCTGATAGGATTAGACTATAATTATAAAGAAACCATGAAACTCCAGAATTTTTTATTTCCTATCTTTCATGAAAACAAGACATGAAAATTTTCTTTAAGTTCTTGTACATTTTTAAAAAAATCAGAAATGTTAGCTGATGTATTGTGGGTATGCTTTATGTAAGAAAGACAATATAGAGCTCTAATCAATAGACTATTAACTAAATGGGGGGGAAGTACTATTAGCTTTATATAAAAACCTAAGTGAATGAGTATGTTTTAAGTTAGTCTTAAAAAACAAGCAAGCTAAGAAATACTGAACATAGTAAGAGTATGAAAAACATGCGTGAAAATTATCTTTTTCTTGTACAAAATCATGATGATCCTGAATGGTTGTTAATTCAATGTTAGGAACTGACAAGATGCAGAAGGCTATTAGAGGGTCTAAGGTGACAGAATCATCTTTGTAAGACAAAGATAGTATGAAAAGAATATAGTGAAAAGTAACTTGATATTTATACTTAACCGTTTTTTTCCAACCGTTGTACTATGCAGCCAGGTGTGGTAGTGAAATTATTGATTATTGGTTCTGTTTCCATGGTCTCATCCCTGGCATGATTCACATAGAAATTGTAGGGTTTAAAAACAAAGTTAATATTAAACCTCTGGAAAAAATTTAACCTTACTACAGATCACCAAGTCTACACTAATGGTGACAATTCTTTTCTGCGAAACAGAAATTCCATGGGGCAATTTGTTTTTAAATATACACCCATTGCTCAAAAAAGCTAAGAACTATTTTGTATTGATGGTTTTGACTAAGAAGTGGGTTAAGAACCTGATTGAGGGCCTCCCCGGCAGCGCAGCAGGTTGAGTGCTGCACTGTGAAATTATCCGCAGCCTTAGCAGTGCGGGTTTGATCCCAGCTGGCCAGCGAGAATCCCACATGGTGTGGCAGAATTCCCCTGTTGTGCCCGCTGCTCCCCTCAGCAATGTACTTCCGTCGTCTGCCTGTTCTGCTCCCTGCTCTGTCTCTGGCGAATCCTCTCACCCTCCCGTGCCTCTGGCCTGTACCCCAGCTCTTGTATAAAAATAAATAAATCTTTAAAAAAAAAAAAAAAAAAAACCTGACTGAAAGTCCAAATTCAACTCATTAATTATAGGCATTATATAGTTCATGGATTCAAATCATAAAGTGGAATTTTACCATCAGTATTGATATAGATTAAGAACTCATTTAAGACTAAAACATAGGTCCATTCTGGGGTTTTATACTGTTTTACTTGCAATAGCTTATATGTTTTAATATCTAGGTCAAATACAGTTACTGTTACTTTTCATTATTTTCTTAGCTGTCCTTAAATTTTATTCTTGCAAATAATTTTAGAATTGTTATTGTCAAATATCCCTCCATTCTCCAACTTAGAAAAAATAATTGAGGCTTGTTATAATTATATGACATTTTTAAATTTTTTAAATTATATCATTAAACATCTTAATAGCAGTCATTCTATTCAGTAATATATTATCTGTCTTTGTAACTCAGAAATATTTTCTGATTTTAATCATATCAGTCCTTCATCTAGGACTGGCATGAGTACTTTACTTTTTTGTTGCAAATTTGAATGGATTTTCCTACTACATTTACCAACTAGTTGTTAGTATGGGAAAACATATTTTTAAAATTATTATCTCAATATATCTTATATGAGCTTCTTTCTTGAGCTTTCATTATTTCTAGATGTTTTAGATGTGACCTTCCTGAGTTGCCCAGGAACAAAACATGGCCTAGAAATACAACACAGAAATGCTTACTTTTATTTCTGATCTATTTCTATAGTATATAAAACAGTATAAAACTCATCATTACATTGGCCAGAGCACCAAGAGTGATGTTGATGTTAAATGGTGATAGACAGCTTTATTAAGTTAGGTATTCTTATCGCTGTGTTAATGAAGAATCCTTCTACTTAGAGTTTAACTAAGTATTTGAGATGAAGAATGGGTGTCAAATTCTGATCAAATTTCTTATTGGCATCTATTGAGCTCATCCTTTTTTTCTTATTCAATCACAGAAATAATATATTCTATGAGTTCTCAAATATTAAACTATTTTTGCATTCCTGGAATAAGCTTAATTTGAAATTGTCCATCATACTCTTAATATTATCGAATTTGTATTTTTTTAAAGATTTATTTATTTATACATACAAGAGCTGGGGTACAGGCCAGATATGCAGGTGGGAAGATTCACCAGAGACAGAATGGGGAACAGAACAGGGAGATCTACTGAAATACATTGCTGAGGGGGCGAGACAGGAGAGGTCTACCTCACCATGTGGGTTTCCCTCTGGCTGGCCGGGGATTGACCTTGTGCTGCAGAGGCTGTGGATTGCTTCACAGCGTGGCGCTTAACCCCTTGCCCCACCAGGGAGGTCCTTGAATTTGTAATTAGGATTTTCACAACTGTAAAAATTTATATTCATAATGTAGGCTGAGTCATAGTTACCTTTTGTGTACTTTATCAGTATTGTGTCGAATACATTAATCTCATAAACTAAACTGAAGAGTTTTGTGTCTTATTGAACTAGTAAGGAAATGGAATAGAGGAGGTTTGGTGAATCTGAAGGTCTCCAGGGGAGGTATTGGCATCTGCACTACAATGTGTATTTCCTCATCAGAAAAAGAACTGGTATAGAAAGGATGGTACAAGTACGTTCTCTGAAATTATGGAATAATTCATCCAGAAAATCACTCTGCCTAGAAACAACTTTTTCAGTTTTATTCTCTGAGATTTAGTGTATCTAGGTTTTCTACTCCAAGTTGATTTTGATAATTCTAAATTGTTTTAGAAATTATTTCATTCATCTGTGCTTTCCAAATTTCCCAATATTCCACCATTTAGCACTTATAATAGCTTAAAAAAATACAGCCCCTTAGTTCCTAATTTTGTCATTTGCATTTGTTTAAATAACAACCATTTCTTAAATTTACCAATTCTATCCTTTTAAAAATCTTTTATGATGCCATTTTATATTTAGTGTTTATTTTGTTCTTTTTTTGCCAAAATTGTGGGAGGCTTTTTTCTGACTGAGTTGAATGTTTAACTTCTTTGTTAATATTCATAATTCTGAGAGATATGGATCTGATATGAGCTGTTTTCACTTACATGGTAACTCTTCAATCACCATTTCCACACTATCCTTCCCAATCTCTTTGATCTAGCATAAAATTCATCACTGAACTTTCAAATCATATTTAAATACTTTAGTTTAAGAGCACTTCTACAGGTACCTCAAAATCAACATATAAACATATCACCTCTACGTCCAGCTGTAGGTATTCCTATCTTCATTGTTTTCTTTACCATTTATACCAGGCAACAAAACAGATTTGTATGATATATCCAAGATCTCCTTCTTTTCCAAAGTCTCCATACCAAATCAATCACAAGTTCTTACTAATTTTACTCCCTTAATTTTATCCCCTCTTCTCAATCCCCCCAATACCTTCTTTTTCAGGTGCTACAGAATCTAACCTGAGGAGACCAATAGCCCATACTTTATTGTATTCTTACTTCCTTGAAATATGAAGTATCTGAAAATCTTTTAAAGATATTTTCAGCAACATATTTTTCCTAGAAAAAGTCAATAAATGCCAAAGATTTAGAAAATTAGATAAAATGTGCCTTTTAAGAAAGCTGTTACCTTTTTTCCTTCATATTTTTCAGTCCCATTGTGTAATCTTCATTTAAACACATAGTATATTCAGAGATACCAAAGTGTTCTAATTTTGGAGTCACACATTCAAAATCATCCATCTTTAAGGCACATTTTGGAGTTTTTGGTACTTTAACTAGTGATTGTGTAGAAGACGGAGTTAAATGTTTTGGCTCTTCCTTATGGTTGTTTACCACCTGTAGAGGGCTTGGCAAAGCTTGGGGTATCATGTACCGCTCAAGTCCAAAATCTGAAAGTTGTGGACTTCGTGGAGATTTCTCAGAAACAGAACTGCCTAAAATAGCAGGATCAGACAAATCATCCTTCACATCAGACTTCTTAACATTTTCATGCTCAGTAGACTCTGGCTTAAAGTCAGTGACTTCTTGTTCATCCACTGGGAGAAAAAAAAGAGGTCATATTCTGGTCACATATCAAACCAGGAAATCTTACATACTAAAATCACATAAGATATCTGCATTTGAAATGTCCCAAATGAGAAAAAGTTCTTACTTTCTCCTTATTCTTTAAAAGTTTTATTTCAATGGTCCCTTTAATAAATTTCTGATCTCATTTTGATGACACATTAGAGAAGGCAAGTAAACTATGTATTAAAAGATGGAAAAAGCAATAACCACCTTAATTTATAGTCCAATTTCCTTACTATCTCAGTTAATGTGATTTACCAGTCTCAGTTTACTTGAAACTTTTCACTTAATTACATTAACTGCAGTGTGGAATTTAGTTAAGATCTAGATTTAACACAAAATATAATAGTTTTAGATTTTTAACTTATAAACACCTAAGTTAAATAGAAAAGACCAGGGCCTCCCTGGTGGTGCAAAGGTTAAGTCTCAGCACTATCTAGCTATCCCTAGCCACTGTAGCATGAGTTCAATCCCCGGCCAGGGAGACACCCACATGGCACAGCAGACCTCTCCTGTCTAGCCAGCTGCTCCCCTCAGCAGTGTATTTCAGTCAATCTGCCTGTTCTGCCACTCTGTCTCTGGTGAATCCTCTCACCCCCATACCTCTGGCCTATATCCCAGTTCCTGGATGTATAAATAAAATAAATCTTTAAAAAAAAAATGAAAGAAAAGACCACTACACAAAGACAAATTTCTATCCTTTCAACCTGGAACACTTGTATCAAAACCTAGTTGAAAGAAATAATAGAAGAGCATTAGAAAGACATGTAGTTTCTCAACCTTTAATAAGTTATTTCTGGCTTCAATCCCATATGCTTAAACCAACATACAGCACATTTCAGATGAAATGATTTACTAAAATCTTTCTTTCTCTCACAATTCCTTGCCATTTCCTAGGTACATTAATGGTTAATGAAATTGGTGTGGAACTGAAGTTGGGAGTCAACAAATCAAGGATATTACCGACAAAGCCAAGAAAGAACTTGAGAAGGAGCCTTTGGTATAAGACAATCGAAAGTCAAAAAGGAAAACAAAGACTGATGCCTACTGAAATTAGTCACTCAAGGTATAGGTGTGAAAATAACAACAGTCATTAACACTGGGTGTTGGTTAACACAGGCCAGGCACTGTTCTAAGAAAATTTTATCTCATTAACCCTTATATAATCTCAGGTACAGATATTATTAACATCTTCACTTTATAGATGAGAAACTGAAGTATAAGATTAGGTAACTGGTCAAAGATGATACAGCCATTAAGTGGTGAAATTAGAGATTTGAACTGAGGCAATTTAGACCCAAAAAATTTGAAACTTTAGAAACTACAACTATAGAAAGTTTAGAAACTACCCTTTATTAGAATTGTCAATTTATGTGGCCAAAAAATCATTCTATAGAAAAAAAAAATTGAGAAATGAAAAAGCATGCTTTAAGATTGGCCTCTCATTACCTACTGGCAAAGTGCACTAGAAGCTAAATATTCCTAATTTATATAGATTTATACTGTTTTCTCCTTTCAACTAGTGTTGTGTTAGTTCTTATCTGGCATTTTAGAAAGAAGAGCAAGGGTTGTCTTCCTATTGCACATCTACTGCATTCAGCACACAGCAATTATTGAATAAATGATGATCAGAAATGATGATCATATAATGGCAGAGCCATGGCCAAGTCTACAGTAGACTTAGGTAATTATGCTGTCTTCTTTCTTTAATACTAAAACAAATGCGGTAAAATGAAAGTTATCACACCTGAAGTTTTCTTGGCACGTGGATTATATCCATACTTCTGGAAAAACTCTCTAATTTTCATGATATCCAATGAATTTTTTTTCATCAGTATTTTTGTTGCCTTTATGAAACCAATGTTTTCTTGACTTTCCAAACACACTTTATCAAGAAGAATAATGACATCATCCTTTTATGAGGAAAGAAAAGTATATTACAATTATAAAGAAAGAACATACATTACTATTTCTCTAATATTTGACTAAGTTTATTTAGATATTTTAGTTATCGCATAAAAGTGATAATATTGCAGGATACCTTTAGAATCTGGACTTCTGAACGAAGGTCATGTAAAATTCTCATTGGATAATCTTCAAAGTCTTCAATATGAATATTGAAAGGAAAAAGTACAATAAGGAAAAGAAGAAAAACAACAATTTAGTATAATTTTTTTAAATTAAACCCTTAGAGATACTTATTTATAATTTATGTCCTGTCAATCTCAAAGAAAAGTATTAAGGCCTTTCTTTAAAATATTCAAATATATGTAACAGAGAAATACGGAAGTTGTTAAGAATATAGCTTGATAAACTGAACATACACACATAATCAACACTCAGATAAAAAAGGAAAGTGGAAGAGAAGAATGTAGGGAGGAAAGGAGTGGGGAAGGGAGAAAGAGGGATTTTTTAGCAATTTTTTCCTTTATAAGTACTCTTTGGTTCTTATGTTAAAAGTGTTTTGCCAACAATAACACTTATGTTTTCTTCTAAAAGCTTTATTGTTTTGCCTTTTGCATTTAGATACACCATCTAGCACTGACTTTTGTCTATGGCATTAAGTTAGGATCAAGATCCATTTTTTTGTTTTACATATTTGTGTCCAAGTGACCTGGCACCACTTACTGAAAAGACATCATTTACCCTTGTGCTGTCACCTTTATTAATCACTTGGTCATACACAAGATGTTAAAGAAAATTTTAAAGGATTGTTATTTCTCTTTTCTAAAATATACCTGATTTGAAGACCTTCTTCCACCTATTAAAAGTTGACCAATTTTCATTACGGAAATACAAATCAATACCACAGTGATATCCAATGGAATGGCTATAATAAAACGGACAATAACAAATGTTGATGAGGCTGTGGAGAAATTGCAACTCACATTATTGGTGGAAACATACACATCCAGTTTGAAAAACAATTGGACAGTTCTGCACAAAGCTGCATGTGAGTATTTACAGTGTTATTCATAAAACCCCAAATGTGGAAACAACTCAAATCTCCATTACCAATGAATAAACAAAATGTGGTATATATATCCATATGATGAAATAAAAATAAGCAATAAAATGGGATGAAGTGCTGATACACATTATGACATGGATGAACCCTGCAACATTATGCTAAGTGAAATAAGTCAGTCACAAAGACTATATATTATGGTTCCATTTATATGAAATGTTGAAAATAGGACAATTTATAGTGACAGAAAGTTGACTAGTGGTTACATAAGGTTAATGTGGCAAGTGGCGATGGGATTACTAGGGCTGGCTGTTTACAGGTAAAGGGATTTCTTTTGGAGGTGATGAAAATCTAAATTTATTGTGATGACAGTTGTACAACTCTGTGACTATACTAAATACCACTGAATTGCATTTTTTAAAAGATGAATTTTATGGTATTTGAATTACATCTCAACAAGTTAAAAAAATTAACCTAGTTTATGATTCATCACTATGATCATAAAAGGTGAAAATTTTTGGCAATGACTTTCTAATTATCACAATTCTGTATATTCTGTAATATATATGGGCTAGGAATTAAAAAAGTTATTTTATAAAACCAAAAGAAAGTTCAGAATTTGTGTACAGAGAATAATATAGTGGTAAGAAGGTAAATTAGGACAAGTTTTGTGGAAAGCAATTCAGCTATATATCAAGAATCCAAAAATATTAGTACAATTTTGTGTCTCTTATAGTAGCAATTATGTAAATAAAATGAAAGAAAAACAAAGCAACCCTAAAATTAAGAATGGTAGAAAGCCTACTAATATATTAATAGTGATGTCTTGTGATAGAGGACTTAGAGGAAATTTTTCTTCTTTTAATTTTCCACATCTCAAAGTATTTGTCACATACACGTATTTACAACCACAGGAACATTTTTAAATGGCTGGAAAACTAATCATAATGCAATTAAAGTAAAAAGAGTCTGTGTCTACAGTATGCAATATTTTAAAGTACAATTATGTCATTTATAAAAGTGAAAATCTGAACTACTCTTGTAACAACCTGAAAAAATATCCCTAGTACAAAAACTAATGGTTTATATACAGCGGCTTGCTCTGTTTATGTACAAAAGACAGCACTAAGAACTAGTATTTGTGCTGGCGATATGAGTTATTTTGGAAAAATACAGACATTTACTGCAACCATGGATCATTTGGAAAAGACAAAGTCACTGCACAAGTAAAGAACTGTGCTAAATGGCAGTATTTTACAAGAAATTGTTTCATTTTGTTTATACTATGCTTTTACTGATAAGGACACATTATGTGTAATTTAAAAGCAATCTGTGTTGAAATGGTAATTAAAACCCTCCCCAAAAACAAAAGCCCTAGACCAGATGGATTTACAAATGAATTCTACCATTCAGAAACAAATTAGTGCCTAACCTTCATAAACTCTTTCAAAAACTTAAGAAGGAAGGGATAACACCAAACACATTCTATGAAGCCAACATTATACTAATGTTATAGGACAGGGAGAGGGGCAGCCCAAACCCCGCAAACCTGCCTATTCTACATGGGTTCTGCCATCCGCCGCATCAACACAAAACATAGGAGACTTTAATGGGAAGGAATTTTAATAAAACTAGGAAACAATACAGGTAAGGCAAAGAGTCTAGTTTCTAGTTTTTAGTCTAGTTTCTAAATGAAGCATCCAGAGTTACCCGTCCCCTCGTGGGTAAAAGTCCATCCAAATGGGATTGGCCCAGAGCAAAGCCCCAAGGCCTGCCACAAGTCTAAAGCATCTTCCAGTGGGGACCCACAGAAAAGGGTCACAAACAACTGGACAAGCCCGGAAGGAAAAGAGCAAAATCAACATTAAGATAAAAGCTACCACTGTCATCTCCCCACGGGTCTCACCCACATCTGTGTCACCCAGTCCATGACCAAAAGACAAGCGCAGTTTCTTCACGTGTCTCTAGGCTCCATGTGCCTCCTCCAGGTCTCCTTCTGGCTCCATCCTGCTTCCTTTCTCCGTCTCTTCTGCAGCTTCTTCTCTCCCTGCTCAGCTCCACCCTCCCTTGGGTGGGGCAGGGAACCTCCCCTTTTCCTGGGGACCACCCTGTTACACTAATAGGAAAACCAAACAAGGACAGCACAAAGAAAACTACAGGCCAATCTCTCTAATGAACACTGATGCAAAAATCCTCAATAAAATGTTAGCTATCAGAATCCAACAACATATCCATAAGGTAATTAACCACCACCCAGTAGGATTTATTCCAGGGACACAAGGATGGTTCAACATCCGAAAATCAATCAATGAAATCCAACACATACAAAAAGAAATATAAAAATCATATGATAATATCAATAGATGCTGAGAAAGCTTTTGACAAAATATAACACTCATTTATGATAAAGGCTCTTGAAATTCTCAGGATACAAAGAACATACCTCAACATCATAAAGGCCATATATGACAAGCCTATAGCCAATATTATTCTCAATGGTGAAAAGCTGAAAGCATTTCCATTACGATCTGGAACAAGACAAGGTTGTCCACTCTCACCACTGCTTTTCAATATGATACTGGAGGTCCTAGCCAGAGCAATAAGTAAGACAAGAAAAAGACATATAAGGAAACCAAACAGGCAAGGAAGAAGTCAAACTATCACTATTCGCAAATGATATGATAATATACATAGAGAACCCCAAAACACTCTACAGAAAAACTAATCAGTTTAGTAAAGTAGCAGAATACAAAATAAACACACAAAAATCAGTAGCCTTCCTATACACAAACAATAAATCTGAAGAAGAAATCAAGAAAACCATCCCTTTTATGATTGAAACAAAAAAAAAAAATCAAATACTTGGGATTAAACCTAACAAAAGAGGTAAAGGACCTAGACAAAGAAAACTATAAAACACTGTTAAAAGACATAGAAAAAGACACAAAGAAATAGAAAGACATCCCCTGCTCATGGATTGGAAGAATTAACATTATCAAATTGGCCATCCTACCAAAAGCAATTTACAGATTCAATGCTATTCCAATAAAAATTTCAATGACATTCTTCAAATAAATAGAACAAATATTGATGAAATACATATGGAGCCACCAAAAACCCCAAATAGCCAAAGCTCTCCTGAAAAAAAGAGAAGGGAATGGAGGCATCACACGCCCAGATTTCAAACTATACTACAAAGCCATAATAATCAAAACTGCATGGTATTGGAACACAAACACATGGACCAATGGACCTGAATAGAAAATCCAGAAACAAACCCACAGATTTACAGTCAACTAATCTTCAATAAAGGTGCAAAGAATATGCAATGGAGCGAGGAAAGTTTGTTCAATAAATGGTGCTGGGAAAACTGGGTTGCTACATTCAAAACAATGAAGCTTGACTACTACCTCACACCATGCACAAAAAACAACTCAAAATGGATTAAAGAACTAGACATAAGACCTGAAACCATAAAACATATAGAAGGAAATATAGACGAAACTCTACATGACATACACATCAACAACATCTCTAAAGACTCATCACCCAAAGCAGTGATAGCAAAGGCAAAGATAAACAAAGGGGACTACATCAAATTAAAGAGGTTCTGTACAACAAAAGAGACAGTAACCAAAACAAAGAGACACCCCACTGATTGGAAGAAAATTTTTGCACACAACACTAATGATAAAGGACTGATGGCAAAAATCTACAAGGAACTGACCAGACTCAACAAAAACAAAGTAAGGGCCTCCCCTGGTGGCGCAGGCGGTTGAGCTCAGTGCCGTGAAGCTGTCCACAGCCTCTGCAGCGCCGGTTAGATCCTGCCGGCTGGCGAGGGTCCCACATGGCAAGGCAGACCTCTCCTGTCTTGCTGGCTGCTCCCCTCAGCAGTGTATTTCGTCTGTCTGCCTGTTCTGTTCCCCGCTCTGTCTCTGGTGAATCCTCTCACCCTCCTGCGCATCTGGCCTGTACCCGGGTTCTTGTATAAAAATAAATAAATCTTAAAAAACAATAAAAAACAAAGTAAACAATCCAGTCAAAAAATGGGCAGCAGAGCTAAAAAGGAAGTTCTCCAAAGAGGAAATGCAAATGGCCAACAGACATAAGAAAAAATGTTCAGCATCACTTGTAATCAGGGAAATGCAAATCAAAACTACAATGAGATACCATCTTACACCAGTGAGAATGGCACATATTAAAAAAAACTAGCTACAACAAATGTTGGCGAGTATGTGGAGAGAAAGCAACTCTCCTGCACTGCTGGTGGGAGTGCAAACTGGTCCAACCACTATGGAGAGCTGTGTGGAGATTCCTCAACCTACTAAAGATAGAGCTTCCATATGATCCAGCAATTCCACTCCTAGGTATTTACCCAAAGGACACAGAATCATTAATTCAAAAGGGCACCTGCACGCCTATGTTTATAGCAGCACTATTTACAATAGCTAAGCTCTGGAAACAACCCAAATGCCCAAAAATAGATGACTGAATCAAGGAGATGTGGTACATATACACAATCGAGAAAGATAAACTCATGCAATTTGCAGCAACACGGATGGAGCTGGAAGGGGTCATGCTCAGCAAAATAAGCCAGAAAGAAAAAGAAAAATACCGCATGGTCTCACTCATAGCAGGAATTTAGAAAACCTAAATAAGGGATCAGGAAAAAGAGTAATTATAATAAAGTAAAAATCAAAATCAACAAGCAACTATAAACCAGAAACACACTATGGGGGAAAGGGAAGGGGGGAAATTACGGTCAAAATAAGGGGGTTGGAAATTGTATGGGGAATATAACCAAGATGAAAATACATACACTGTTAAAAAATGAAAATTGATGTAAAAAATATATAAAATAAAATAAATAAAAGCAATTTGTGTACATTTTTTAATCACTGAGTTTGTCAATTTAGGCTCTTATTCCTAAATGACAGTCCTTCTTCATAACATAACATTACTACTTTCATTACTTGAACAGAGCGTTGTGGTTTAAGTAGAACTAATAGCAGGGGCAACACACTTACGAATGAATGAAAAGGTAGTATCCGCAGCCCCCAGCATTTTGACAGGTGTAACACCCCCACCCCATATCTCTCTCGAAGCTCTCCCCGCCAGAGTAAAAAATATTTTCTGCAAACGATTACTGATGTTTAATTTTTTTTGTTAATGCCCTTTTTCTTTTTCTATTTGTTATGTATTTTTATTTGTTAATGCCCTTCTAATACACCGCACCCGAGGATGCGGGCGGGGTCCCAGCCGCCGCGAACCCCTTCGCCCGCCAGCCTCTCTCACCGTTTTCCTCTCGGTTCAGCGCTCGCTGCAGCCGGACGGTCTCGCTGTCTAGGGTGACGGCCAGAGACCGCAGTTTCCCGTGGAAGTTCCGAATCAGATCCATAGGGAAGATCCGAGAGCAGGACGCCAGGTTGAAGGAGACCCGCCGCTCGGGGTCACCGCCCGCCGTTACTTTGAATCTCCTCGCGCCGGAAGTAGCGTGATTCCGCGGAGTCGCATGTCTTCTCGCGAGAGCGGGAGTCTCGCGAGAAGGGACGAGGCGGGCGCATTCTGGACGCGGTGTTGGCGCGAGCGCGGAGACTTGGGGCCGCTGGGGCTCGCAGTTGGTGAGTGCGCGGCTTCTTGTGACGCTCGGGGAGTCGACTCCTTGGGCTCCGACTTCCTTCGCGGCGGCGGGCGCGTTCTCGGGTGGCCCCGGGCGCGGGAGGTGCGTGGCAGGGGTGGGCTTGGCGCGCTCGCCGCGCCTCCCCGGGGCGCAGCTGGTGTCCACGGGCTCTGTCCGCCCGCAGGCGCCATGTTCCTCACCGCCCTCCTCTGCCGCAATCGCATTCCGGGCCGCCAGTGGATCGGGAAGCACCGGCGGCCGCGCGCCGTGTCTTTCATCGCCAAACAGAACATGATCCGGCGCCTGGAGATCGAGGCGGAGAATCACTACTGGCTGAGCATGCCGTACCTCACCGCCGAGCAGGAGCACGGCCACGCCGCGGCCCGCAGAGCAGCGGCCTTCCAGGCCATCAAAGCGGCCAGCACCTCCAAGTTTCCCCCACACAGATTCGTGGGAGACCAGCTCAGTCATCTCAATGTCACCAAGAAGTGGTCCTAATCCGGAGCCCCCGCGCTTCAGTCGCAGGACTGCCGTCTCTACCTGATCCTGAAACGGAAAATCTAATGTAGAAAACAGCCTTTGGACCAGAGTCTTACTGAACAGCAAACATGAGCGGAGTGTCTGCATATAGAGACTCTTGGGCTCCAGGCTCTAACATTTCAAATTCTAAACTGTTTTGTTCTGTTTTCTTCCCCCTCTCCTCCTAGAAAGATAACAGGAATTTCCTGGGTCACAGATGATTAATATTTTGGCTGGAAGAGGCAATAAAGCTACATACTGCTTTGGTATCTGTGCTTGAATGTGAGAAAACTTGGGCGTCTTTACGAGCTATATTACTTTGCTTACCGTCTAAGCAAATGAGAAACAGCTTTTTTAGTTAAGCATACTCCTAAAAATAGAATTTTCATTTGTAATTTGCTGTTACCAGTAGGTGTTTAAATGAAGAGTTTTAAGTCCATTCAGAATTGCTATGCGAAGATGTATTTTTTAAAACTTATTTATTGGATATCATTCACATGTACAACACACCGGTTGAAGATGTTTTTCATGCAAACCTTTTTTTCTGAATATAAGTCAAGCACTTTACATGTTAACTAAATACAATAATCCTATCAGAAACTTTTTTTTAAAGATTTATTTTTTATTTATACAATAGCTGGGGTACAAGCCAGAGGTGAGAGGATTCACCAGAGACAGTGGGGAGCAGAACAGGCAGATGGACCGAAGGCACTGCTGAGGGGAGCAGAGGGAAAGAGACAGGAGAGGTCTACTGCACCATGTGGATATCTCCCTGGCCTATGGGAAATCAAACCCGTACTGCAAACTGTTTGAGGCTGCAAACAGCTTCACAGCCATGTGCCAACAGGAAGGCGCGACAGCAATTGCATGTTTATCAGAAAATATTCACAATATATACAAGAAAAATTAAATATCGTTACCCAGTGATAATACAGTCCTTGCATTTTTTTTCTATCAGCTTTTTGCATGCACATACTTGCTGAAATTACATGAATGAATAGAATTTAGAACCAACAGCTAATTAAAGATCCTGGTGCATATTTGCCAAATGACTTTCCAGAAAGATATTAAAACAGCAAGATTAATGAATGAGTGTGCCAGTCTTATTTGCCAGCATTGAGTCTTACTAAAAATACCACATTATTTATAGGATTCGTGTTATAATATCTACTACTAGTAGTTAGTCTGTGGTGCAGTGATTTTTTTTTTTTTTTTTGCATTTAACAGAATGCCTGACACATGATAGTGAATATTTAACCAAACAACTATCTTAATATGTCTTGGTTTTTGTTGGTATAGAAATACTGGAATGCCTTTTTTTTTTTTTTTAAATAGTACTTTCCTTGTTATTTTTTTTTTTTTTTTAAGATTTACTTATTTATTTGTACAAGCACTGGGTACAGTTAGAAGCGCGGAAGGGTGAGAGAATTCACCAGAGCCAGAGCGGGGAGCAGAGCAGGCAGAAGGACCGAAGTACACTGCTGAGGGGAGCAGTGGGCAGCAGGAGAGGTCTGTGCCCCATGTGGGATCCTCCGGTGGCCGGGGAGCAGCCGGGGATCAAACCAGCGCTGCAGAGGGCTGCGGGCAGCTTAGCAACCCAGCGCTCAACCGCTGCGCCACCGGGGAGGCCCTGGAATGCTTTTTATTGCTCACAGATATGTCTGGGCATATGGGCAATTTGCCAGAAATGGTAATAACTGATATGTGGAAGAAAGTGAAACTTGAAATGTCAATTTCAATATTCCTTCATTTCCACAACTAACAGGAATTAGAGGAAGAATTCAGGATTAGGTTTCTCTTAAAGACCATATGCAAACTAGCTGCTATAAGTAAAAATGGTAGCTTTGTTCTACACCATGGACAAGGCAATGCTGCTGAAACATGACTTTTCTTATTGAAACTAAAATTATTAGCCATTATAGAGCCTGCCTTTTTTACCAACAAGCAGAACTCATTGCCAATCAGAATTGTTCTTAGTCACATGTAATGAAGTTACATGTGCAACTTTAATAAATGCAACCTCTGTATTATAATTCCTGACACAGTTGTTCACTCTCCAAAGTTAGTGGAGGTTCTGTCATGAGCCAGACATGGTGCTATTGGTTGTTAACGTCAAGCAGTTGACTGTCTCATTGAATAAAATCCTCAGTAAGTAAGATAGTGTGATGATTCACTTCATGAATATAAGTGTATACAGTGTAATAAGAATCCAATGTAGGGGCCACTTATGGCAGGATAAGAGACAAGGAATAGGTGACTGAGTTCCCTGAGTGTTGGGATGAAATCTGTTTGCTTGCTCTGTCTTAGGCCCTCTTTAGAGCTTGGTACGTAGTAGGTGGTAAGCAAGTATTAATCAGATAACATTCAAAAAAAGTTACACTGCTGATAAAAATAGTTCCAAGAATTTAGATCTGACATCTCCCAGCTGAGAAAAACGGGGTACCTTGTAAAGATTTTCATCTGTGCACAGAGAACCCAAATTTGTTACTGAAATTGGATGAATTGCCTGCTGGGTACAGTGATGCGCTAGTAGACAGAGTTAAAAAGGAAGACTGACGTTTGGATGACGGCAGAGTGTGATACCAATATGGCATCAAGGCCTAAAATTCCAAGGACTTCGTGACTAAATGAAAATGATATTATTTATTTTGGTCAGGGTGGGTATGGGGATGTTTGAAATGTTTGGTTCATACTTGGGTGAGTGTGTAATATATTATTCTGAAATGATACATGGTAATTGCTTTGAAAATTATAAGGATATTTATTTAAGAAACTTACCGTAGTCTAAGTTACTACCTTTTAGTATTGAGTTCTCTTACTCTAAGGGATACACAGTAAAGAAAAGCATCTTATTAATCTAAAGAGGTTAATTTAAGGATTATGATTTTGTCATGGAAGATTTTGCTTGAGGAATTCTTGAAATTTTGTTCTCTCAGAGTATTTAAAATGTTTCTATATGCAAAAAAAAAACTACCCAGAATTTTCTAGGAAAGCATTCTTGTGTGTAGGCTTTCAAATTGAACAGTAAATAGAAAACATACTGTATGTGCTTGGAACACTTGAATTATTATCTTCAGACCTATTGTAGGGGCAGGAAGGGTACAATGCAGGATTTCTATGATCCGAGGAGACCTGGTAAAGGAGAGTCCTGGAGCCCTTGGTGGCTTTCTCAGGTTTTTATTGAGCTTTTACATGTATTGCAGCAACCAGGTACACAGCAGGCAGGGGTGCTGGGGGGCCACTCTGGGCTTCCCTGGCGTTCTTTCTCCCCTTTTCTCTCCTGCCTCTCTGCTGCTTCTGTTTCTCTTGGCAGGTATCTCAATGCTGAGCCATGGCCCACAGAAGAAAACAATACAGCTTACAACAATGTAACAACTGCAGGTGCTCCATTAGGGCAATCCTAATGGTGGGAGGGCAGTAAAGCCTGAAAACCATTTACCCTACAATATTACCTGCCAAAGTTCCTCCCTTCTGGTGGGATTGTTAGTCCAAGTCCATCCATCGGCTTTTTTCCCTACATCAGCACTGGCGGGCTGATTGAGGTCCTTTCTTCCCCGATGATTCTGCTGCCTCAGAAGTCTCGGGCTGGTCCTCACTGGCTGTCTCCTCCACTCGAGGTCTCACCCCGCAGCTCCCGGACCTTGTTCACTTCCTGTGCTCCTGCAGCATCTTTAGCAATTTCCACAGTTCCTGGACTTTGGTCACTACCTGTGCTGCCGTGGCATGTCCAGCGTTGTCACATGCAGTCTGCTCCTCAATCCCTCCTGAGGTCTTTGGAGGGCTCCACACCTGTCTGCATTGAATCATCCTGCCAACGTACACCATTTGTAGTGACAGGATGTGCACAGAGCAGGTTATCTATGATTGGGCAGACCAGACAGGTAAAGGAGAGGCCTGGAGCCCTCAGTGGCTTTCTTAGGTTTTATTGAGCTTTACATGTAGTGTGGCAAACAAGTACACGGCAGGCAGGGGTGTCAGGGGGGCCGGCAGGCCTCCAAGCCCCAGACAGGTCTTCATTCAGGGCTTCTCTGGCCTTCTTTCTCCCCTTCTCTCTCCTGCCTCTCTCCTGCCTCTGCTTCTCTTGGTGAATATCTCAATACTGCAATCATGACCCACAAAAGTGAACAATGCAATTTATAACAATGTAACAAAATGCAGGTGCCCCATCAGGCAGGGCAATCCTAATGGCAGGAGGGCAGAAAAGCCTGAGAAGCATTTACCCTACACCTATTAACAAAATTAAAATTTTTTAGTGAACAGGTATGAGGTGGAAATTAACCTGTGCATTTTTTGGAACTATCAAATCACAAGAAAACAGGAACTGGTATTCTCTGAACCACATCAGTATTTTATTTGGTTACAATTCCTGGTTTTGGTAAACTATGCTAATTGAAAGCAGCGCGGGAAATGAGATGTGTGGATTCTCTGAAAGTTGAATACCTTTTTTTTCCTCAATGAAGCATCAATACTTTTTTCATTTTACCATTCAACAGAAACTCTGACAGTCCAGTTTATAAAACAGACTACATTTTATATAGTTCATACAGTTCATTTATAAACAGAAAAGATTTCTTCATGACTTACCTTGAAATCGTTATTCAAGATATACACTATTCAGTTTGTGAATGTGCTGCATGTTTTTGGTCAAAGTACAATGCAAAGATCACCACCATCCTGCCAGGAAAAATATTTGCTGGTTGCCAAATAGAAGTTACAAACATCTAATTATATTAGAGATTTGATTTGGGTTAGAAGTTAGTATCATAGAGCTTTTGGTGTAACTGATTTTATTTCATGTTTTTTAAACTTCTTTTTCATTGAAACAGTGCCTCTAAATGAAAGACAGGTGTATTGTAGCATTTGAATGTTTTGTACTCTTGAATTGGAGAAAAGGGAAGTTCTTACATATGTTTAGATCCTAGAACTCAAGAGATTTTGATGCTGTCATTTGTTTATTGTGTCATAATTGAATTGTCCTGCAGATTGTATTTGGGTTTGTCTGATTAATATACAGGAAACTTTGCAAGCACTCTCTTTTGATTGACAAAACTGCTCAATAAGGATATTGGTGTAATAGAGTAGGTTATTATTATTTATTGAAAAACTATGTACTCTTATTTACATGGCACTGAATATGAAATTTTACTTGTTACTTTTAGTTCTTTCTACAACCTTGAAAACAAGTGCAGTTATTCCAGTTACCTGATGAGGAAACTAGAAGCTAACTGGTGTATCCAACATCTTGGCTTAAGTAGCGAAGATAGAGACTCATACAGCTCGTGGCACATTTTGTGCAGAGAACTGTTCTCTCCAGTAATTGATAAATAAAAAAAAATTAAAAGTAATCTGACAGGCTGGCATACATTATGGGAAGATCAATGACTTTTAACACAAATGACTTCACGTTGATGTTGAAAGAAGTTGGTTCCTCCTTGGGAGGCAGTGAGATGATATAGTTGCAATTACCATATGTAGACTTCAGAACTCTTCCAAATATCTAGTGGGTTGACTTTTATATTAGTATAGTATTGCATAGCTGTAGTTTCAGATATATGTAATGCTACAATACAAAATTCATGTGTAAAGAGTGAATGAAGACAGGAAAAAATTACTGAGTTCAAAACATTAGAATAGAAAAAGTACTTTTTAAAATTATTTCACTACGGGCCTCCCCGGTGGCGCAGCGGTTGAGCGCTCGGTTGCGAAGCTGCCCGCGGCCTCTGCGGCGCCGGTTCGATCCCCGGCTGCTCCCCGGCCACTGGGGGAAGGTCCCACATGGCGCACAGACCTCTCCTGCCGCCCGCTGCTCCCCTCAGCAGTGTACTTCGGTCCTTCTGCCTGCTCTGCTCCCCGCTCTGGCTCTGGTGAATTCTCTCGCCCTCCCGCGCTTCTACTGTACCCAGTGCATGTATGAACAAAACAAACGAACAAATAAATAAAAACATGCAAAAAAAAAAGAAAAAAAAAAGAAAATTATTTCACTATACAGAAAAAGAAAGTAAACAGGCAATCAAATAAGGCAGTGGGACAAAGGAAAGGAAGAAGTGCTATTTTAAGAGTGAAATAGTTGTTTCATGGAGTTTTTACTCAAAAAAAGAAAACTTGGGGGAAAATCAGAAGAAGTCATTTAGAAGAAGGTGATACTGAAATAAGGGTAGTAAGCTACTCAAAGATAGCTAGTAGAGAAAATACTGGATAATTGGGGGAAAGTTTCCTTTAACATGAAATATTCCTATCACATATATTTCCAAAAGGGCAGGTTTATTACATTTAAAAAGGAAAGGAAAAGAAGGGACACTTGGACGGATACATGCAGGCAGAAA